TATACGTGAAATGATGTCATCAGCAGTAAATTAATATTATAAATGAGAAACATCGGAATTAACACGACACCAGACATTTAGGGCAAAAACGGAGTACGCAGGCCACCCCTATAATGCGCTTTGTTGATATGTGTGAGGGTTAAACCGCAAAACAGTCGGTTTTTTTCTCAAAATCATTAAAGAAATCGGTAAACCGTGGCGTAAGAGTCTTAAAAGCGCGAAGCGTGCGAGCCTCACACTCTCCCCAGTCTCGCTCTCCGTTTTCCGCCTCGTTCCAGTCCTTTTGTTTGACTGCTCTCGCGTACTTAAATATGTAAAAATAGGGACTGTGAAGGTCGACAAGTAAAACGGTCCTAGACGGAATACTGCCAACTACCCTTCCAATGAAATGCACTCTTAGCGCTGATTTATATTGATGTTTCAAATTCCTGCAATAGTATACATTAAGCCCTTCTGGGTCGTTTACAACAACAGAGAAAACCCATCAAGCATCAATTGTAGCTATTTATAAAATAACAGTGTCCTTTTGTTCATTCCAGAGTCATTGGCTCGCTGTCCAACTTCAAGAAATTTGCGAAGGCCTTCAATTGCCCTATTGGAAGCGAAATGAACCCAGTGAAGAAGTGCTCTGTATGGTGATGATCCACTTTCGATTTACACTACACGGACATCTAAGGGAAAAACACATGCAACTGTCCTTGAGCCCACAGAACTGTTCGTAATACTGAGATATCCGTATTCACAGAGGTGTTCGTTATCATAGTAGTTGAGAGATTTCAATTGCAGGTGTTATAGTCACAGATATACCACCCAAGAAATAGGCAGTGATGACGCTTGTTTTCAATATGTAGTGACACACATTTCCTTGTTAAATAACTGCAGATAAGCAACAAATTAAATTACCTTTAGAGGGTGAACGATAAGACCGACACACAGATCAGTTATCTTTCACTCTGAAGATGACTACCGCACAGGATCTCGAAAGTCACTGTCAACAACAACAGTCCTATTCAGAACTACGTTCACCCGGACGATCACACGCAACCTCCTTATGAAACATAACAGACTGATGCGCCCTAAATCAAAGTTATCCGTTGAAACTGGAGAAAAAAAACTTGTCAAGCAGATACTGATGAACTTAACGGAATAGGCGTGTCCTGTTGAACACTCTTCACTGGAATTTCGTAGCCTACAGTTGATGTAATTCGTTAATAAAGTCTAGATTAAAGTGTGTTCCTCCATATCTAGTAGTGGAACGATAAAATTTCTTTTTATATGTTGATAACTCTAGTTTTGCGTAACAATCTTACAATGGAAACAAAAGGCCTACCTAAGCTTGCCTGGTCTTACCCTGCGAGCAGGGGCTACATTTTCGCGGTATGAGCTAGCGTGCGAAAAGTAGCCTCTGCCGACAACCGTTCAAATCCGTCCAGAAATCTGGACGAATAAATTAAAAAAACGGGTTTTTTCTTGTTCTTGACCGGTTTAGAGCATTGCGCGAGTCTTGCGTCAGCGAATGAACGCTGATCAATATTACGCCTTCACGCATCCCTTCGCGCCAAATTCTCGCATACGAACGCGGATCAACGCAGCTCAAACGTAGCAACAGGAAAAGTTCAAAACAACTTCAAAAATTCCTGTTTATGTATTTAAAAGAGCGTCGTCAACAAATTGAATAAGCTCTGTATTTTAAAGCTGTCGGAATACCAAAACAAGCTGCTGCCGGTGCTTCTTACGGGACCGTGTAAAGATCGTTAATTTATCATATGGTAGTTCTTGTTTGCCAGGAAAAGAAAATGGATACTGCGGTGATTTTTGTTGTGTCACCTCTGAATGCAAGGCTAAATGCACTATTTTAAGAAACAGATGGGAACCGGAATGTTTAAAAGAATCATCGATCAGTTTTCTTCTAGTGGAAAAAGCAGGAAAAAAGCTTTCAGCTGAACACTGATTCGCCCTCAAGGACTTCAACCAGGTTTTAAATTTTCTATACATTTGTCTGTTAGAAAGTCCCGGGAAAAATTACAGACAAATATATGGAAAATCTAAAGCAAGCCTCTAAGCACAGTTACGCCTCCCCCAATTTTTTTAGTACAATCCATTGTTTTGCAGCTTAAGTTTAGAGGTCATATTTTTTTCAGAACAGCCGTTTTACGGAAATTATTCGACATTAGATTCTCATACAAACACTGTAATTTCTCACGCGTTTGCCTACTCGTCAAGATGGCGTGGAAAACCGTGACAAGGTCTATAGTTTTCATGATGTAGGACGCCATGTGAACAGATCTTGATTTTTTGTAGTATTTTTAACATGCATAGACCTTGTCACGGTTTTCGACGCCATCTTGCCGAGTTGGCAAACGTGTGAGAAATTACAGTGTTTGTATCAGAATCTAATGTCAAATAACTTCCGTAAAACGGCTATTCTGAAAAAAATATGAATCGTAAACTAAAGGTACAAAGCAAAGGATTGTACTAAAAAAATTTGGGGGCGTACCTGTGCTTAAATTTCTCCAGAGGCTTGCTTTAGATTTTCCATATATTTGTCTGTAATTTTTCCTGGGATTTTCTTACAGACAAATGTATAGAAAATTTTAAAAAGTTGTTCTAGGTCTTCTAGTGGAAGTAACGCCCTCAGTTTTTTCAGTAGAATCCTTAGGAGTGAAGCTTTAGTTTAAAATTCAAATTTGGTCAACTCCACCTGGTCATGAAGAATTAGCTGGAGGATTTGAGCTAATCAGAAACGGACAAATATTTTAAATGATATATATGATAAAGTGTTAGTATTTTGCGCCTACAGTCAGTCTACAAAACATAAAAAAACCGAGGGCGTATTAGCAATGAATTATGTAACAGCCTTAGTTTAACAATATTTAATAAAGTGAAGTGTGGTGAGGCCTGACGGGCTTCTTTGTTTTACGTACTTGTTAGCTTTCAGTTCCACTCTCCGCGCACAAACTTGAATAGCATTTCACTTACCAGTCCCCGCTCTGATCTAGTGACTGGGTCCTTGTACACTTGAGGAATACCGAAAGTTCTCTTCATTTAATTATTGAATTGTATCGTTGTTTGAAAATATTTCAGGGTAAAATCTTTTCCTAGATACTACCATGTCAAATGAACTTGAACGAGGTGCATTATTTGCAAGTGCCACGAGAATGTAAATGTCAATCAAATGTGACGTATTTACTATCCAGTATAGTTTTTATACTCTGAACGCTTGCTTCTTTCGAACTCTGGCTGTAATCGAGGCAATCTTGAGCTATATATATCATCATTAGTACTCTATTGCTGGCTGTGTTATCTTAAGGCTAAAATTGGACCCAGATACAGACGATTGTCCGCAATTGATCGAAGAAGAAGGCGGGATCAGCATGACCTACCGTCTCTGTCTGCTCTGTACATGTCGAGCGATTGCCGCCATTATTTTGATTGTGCTACTTAAAATCATTGTGATCGTTGTGTTTCGTTTTGTATTTGGCATCATAAACAACTCTGCGAAGTCCAACTCTGTGAAGAGTACTTATTTGTCATCTTAGAATATAACCTAATGTATTGAACTTGTAGACATTTGTCATTTTAGAACGTAAGCTAATGTATTGAGATTGTAGATTCATTACTTAAGGCCTCGCCCATTGGACCACGTGCAGAAAGTAGCCATGGCTGCATGCAGATTCTAGGATGAATTGTATTAATATAGAGCAATCGTAGATTTAGCTTATATACTGATCGAATGTGTTTATGCCGGTTCAGTTAATTTAAGCCAAGGAGGTGGCGTGCGTAAAAATGCCAAAATGCCAGGTAAACCCCAATTTTTTTTGATTTACAGACAAAGGTAATCTGTGACGTGCGGCAGTACTCCAAAAAACCTGATAAATCGGTAGTAGTCTACTATGTTGCGATATTAGCCCCGTTGGTGCCTAGTCAGTGCCTAGCAAGTGCCTAGTCATTGCCTAATCGTGTATACTAATCAAGTGCCTAGTCACTGTCTTCCTGCATACTAATTCGGTATGGGCTTACTAATGTAAACAAGACATTGCTAGTTGACAAGAAGTGGCTAAGCATCTCGCATTGGACTAATCTGGTCTTTAAAGGGTACAATAACACGAACAGGGTCAGATGAATCAAAATCTGCCGCGGGTGATGAAACAGGTCAGCTGATCAGAAACTTTTGTGGCAATAAAGCGCGACATAGTAGAGTTAATCTAACTGAGCTGCTGCAAAGCAAACCAGTAAGAAAACAATTTCCAGGAAGGCAGCATATGTGTACTAAAGCCCTCTGCTGACAAGCATAAAGGAAAGGTAAGATTCCGTACAGCCTCATGCATTCATTATGTATGCAGCAATTTCATACTATTTCACATAAATATGTAATATGAATGGCGTCGGAAAATGTGTGCATAATAAATGTATGGGTCTGCACGGAACTCTTACAATCACTTTTCATCGATTAATCAAACCAATTGATCTTACTTGACGAATCATTATCGATTAAATTGATTATATCGATTGCCCTTCAATCATCGACTTTCATTGACTGGGCACCCCAGCTCAGACGCCCCGAACGTCAATATTTTTACATCCTCTGCACAAATAATTGTACAACAATTCAGAACAGTTGTCTAGTGGTACATACCGCTATCAAAACAGGGGCACCCAACGAGAATATAGTTCAAAACCACTTATTAAACATAGCATTGTTAAGCGTATTTTAGTATTTAAACGGTAGATATAGGCATATTTTTATCCCCTAAAAGTTTTTCATCCGTTCGGATTTCCTAGCTGAAAGTCTAGTGACGCGAAAATTATAGGGATCAAAACTTACCTTTTCGAAAATTTCAGCCAGAAAAAAGACTCTCGAAAATTCTAGGTGACCTTTTTAGGGTAAAAATACGTTAAAAATTGGCAATTATACCATTTTTTAGATGTTCGAAAATCCTAGGAGAGGCAGACAAGCAAGAAACTTTACAACAAATGTTTCGAAAACTCTAGATCTCAAATCATCTTCCGAACACATATTTTCCGAAAATTGACGTTGGGTGCCCCCGATCAAAAGCCCACTCTGGTTCCGTCTTTGGATATCTGCCATTTATTAACTCCATCATTATGACCCCAAAGGAGAAAATGACGATTTTGATGCTGTACTCGACTTTTGGTGATGAACGGTTTGGTGAATACGTCTTTGGAGCAGCGTAAGCTGGAGTTGCGGGAACTGGAGAAGCAAGCATTTTCTGATCTCGCGAAAAGAACTTTGCAAGGCCAAGATCGGCTATCTTGGCTTGCCTATCTCCAGTCAAAAGTACATTTTTACTTGCCAAATCTCGATGAACTATCGGAGGGTTGCATTCATAGTGCAGGTAAGCAAGACCTTCTGCTACATCCAGCATAATGGACACGATCTCGGGATCAAATGGAACTTTGTTTTGTTGAATTTGATAAGCATATTTTCCCAAATCGCAGACCAAAAGTTCTGTGAAAAGTATGGGGGGTGAAGAATGCGAAATGACGAAATTCAACCAGCTCAACAACGTTCTTGTGCTTGAGTCGCTGCAAAATTCTGCATTCTTGTTGAAATTTGTTGACAGACGCGCGCCGGTCGTGGCAGTGAAATAAGAAATCATGCAGCACTTTTACAGGTGAAAAAAAATTAAGAAAGTTCATTGAATTTACAGTTCATCTCAGAGTCCGGAAGTTTTCTATCCACGTACATCTTAGTTTCTTTTCAACATTATTTAAAACATGTATTTGTGTGCCATGCAGGCGTGGATTCCGGATTCCAGGTACTTTATTCCAGTCAGTGGAACCTAGATTCTGGATTCTAATCGTTAGTGGGATTCCGGATTCATTAAGCTGTTTTTCGGAAGTTTCTGGAGGGTGTTATCCGCCTCGTTCAGATCATTCGAAAACTGAATTCAGTAACAAAATTGTTTTATTATTCATTCAACATAATTTGTATTTTAATAACAAACTAATGCTTACCTCGATCGAATTCAACTGGGGTTCCGTCTTCATTTCCCTGATCCTCGGTAAGGTGTATTTTTACTGTTCTTGCTGTGTTTTTAGGCAATGGTACAGTTCGGCTATTTCTTCTTCGTAAAGCGTGTGAATTTTTCCACCAATTTCTCCAGCTATACCAAAACAGCTGAGCAAACCCAAACTCGTCCCCAGGGCTTCTCTGTTTCCATGACTTTTTCTGTGGTTATCCTGCATCAATGATATCATTTCTTTCGGATGTCCTAAACTTCTTTGGTCAACTCTAGCTGGTCATGAAGAATAAGCCAGAGGATTTGAGCTAATCAGAAACGGAGAAATATTTTGAATGAATAATAAAGTGTTAGTATTTGGCGCCCACAGTCAGTCTACAAAACATGTAGCAGCGGATCGTAAGGTCTCTCCTAATTGATCGCAGGAAACAATCAGATGTCATTCTTCCAACAGTATTGTTTGGAGTCAGGGAAACGCACCATTGATGACTTCTCTTCCGAGCAGCTGCTACATGACCCGAGGGCGTATTAGCAATGAATTATGTAATAGCCTTAGTTTTACCATACTAATAAAGACAACGCAGAGTAATTTTCAAGGAGTTCTAATAACTCCTCTAGTGGGGTTAATTTAACTCCTTACAGTGGAGTTATTTTTTGGTGTTATTTTAACTCCAAAAAGGAGTTTAAAGAATTCTTTTTCAGGAGTGAAAATGACCCCAGATATTGAGGAGTTATCCTATACCTAAAATTTTTACTCCACTTTCAGAGCTGAATTAACTCCAAAAAGAGTGGAAACAACCCCTGTAAGGAGAAAAATAACTCCATTTTCGGAGTTATTTTAACTCCAGACTGGGAGTAAAAAGAACTCTTTTTCAGGGGTAAAAATGACCCCAAATTTGGAGTTAAATTAGGAGTTAAAGTAACATTTTTGGAGTCATAATAACTCCTTAAAAATTACGGTGCGTTTGTGAAGCCTGACGGGCTTCTTTAATTTGTATCATGTATTTGTTTAGCTTTCAGTTTCTCTATCCGAGCACATGGTTGAATAAAATTTCACTTTCCAGTCTTCGCTCTATCGTTGTTTTGAAGTGTTTCAGGGTAATATCTTTGCCTAGATTTGACACGTCAAATGAACTTGAACAAGGTGGATTATTTGCAAGTGCCACGAGGAAGTAACTGTCAATCAAATATGACGTAATCGCTCTTAAGTATAGTTTTATACTCCTGCACCGGAACGCTTGCTTCTTTCGAGCTCTGGCTGTAATCGATGCAAGCTTGAGCTATATATATCACCATTAGAGAAATTACTCTATTGCTGGCCGTGTTCTCCTAAGGCTGAAAATGGATCCAGTTACAGACGATTGTGCGCAGTTGATGGAAGAAGAAGGCGGGATCAGCATAACCTACCGTCTCCGTCCGCACTGCACAGGGAACAAATGTCGAGCGATTGCCGGCGTTACTTTGATTGTGCTACTTATAATCATTGGGATCGTTGTGTTTGGTGTTGTATTCGGCATCAAAAACAACTCTCCGAAGTACAACTCTGTGAAAGGTACTTATTTGTCATTTTAGAATGTAACCTAATGCATTGAGCTTGTAGACATTTGTCATTCTAATATATTGAGCTTGTAGATTCATTACTTAAGGCCTCGCCCATCGGGCCACGTGTAGAAAGCAGCCATGGCTGCATGCAGATTCTAGGATGAATTGTATTAATATAGAGCAATCGTAGATTTAGCTTATATACTGATCGATGCCAGTTCAGTTAATTTAAGCCAAGGAGGTGGCATGAGAAAAAATGCCAAAATGCCATGTAAACCCCAATTTCTTTTGATTTACAGACAAAGGTAATCTGTGACGTGCGGCAGTACTCCGAAAAAACCTGATAAATCGGTACTTATAGTTTCACGATGACCGAAGCAAGCAATTTACGGTAGATTTGTTTTAAAATACTCATATTAGTATCCCGTTTTTAAGCAGAAACAAACTGGCTCTCGAAGAAAAAAAATGCAACCGTCATTTATCAATCATTGTCGTCCTTTATTCCAAATAACGAAATAATTTGTTCTCACTCTACTGCCGGTCAAATATACCTTGTTGATAATTGTCGGTCATGAGAGATTCTACTTTTATATACCACCTTCAATGAGCTATACCTTGCGCATTCCAAAGCCATTATATATTAAAATATGTACCTTCCTTATGTGAATTTGGAATATGATTGGAGCCTTTAAACAGTTGTTTATTATCAATGAAAATGTAAAACCGAAACACGTACCTCGGAGAGAGTACGGGAATTTTAAAAGTACAGGCCTTACGTATTTACTGACATTTCGAAGTCTCCTCGAATGCAAAATTTGTAAAGCTCTTTAATTTATACCAGCTTATCATATGCCTCTTACTCCGTTAAGCAATTAACGACAAAATGAAAAGGAAAATTGAAAAGTAACGAACCTCGTTGCTTTCCGAAACGGCAACCTTCTCTTATCACTACTTTCGGTTTCTGATGATTTTTAGGGACGTTAAGTCCCAGACATAGTTCCGCTAACAATTGCGGGACTTTGAAGAACAATCTAGATATTGCTCACATCGCGGATCGGCAATTTTATATAAGTAATGGACAGAGCAGAACAAAATTACGAGATTTCTGATGATTACTTTAAGCCTTAGCAATTCCCCAGTGAACCACCATCATAAGCCATACCAGCATGCAGGTACAAGCAAAATTGAAGCCTGTTTATTGGAAAATGCAAGGCGTTTTAAACAACTGCAAAATGTAGACAAAAATTTGCTCAAATCACGTTAACGCAATATATCACAGAGGAGGAACAAACTTTCCAATAAACTGTCTTGACAGGCTTTTCCTACATCGATTTTTTTTTTCTCAAATGCCTATTTCAATGTAATCAATGTAATTTCGATTACCGTACAAAATTCTCATGCGCGCCATTTCACGTGCTTGATATTGGTAGACAAAAAGTCTTTTAAGTGCACGGCTAGGCATGCAAATGGGTCAAAAGGCAAGCAAATCGCTGAAAAATCAAAGAGATAGAACGAACAATTGATCGAAAATGCTGTTTAATAGGAAATTTTTTTTCGTATAATAGGTTTTTCTTTTCATAGTAAAAGAAATGTTGACCCTAGTCTCTCACCATAGCAAAAAAATTAAAAAAAGGAGAACTAGCTTACCACTTTCCATTTAAATTTTATGGTTCAACAAGTCGCAACACTAAACAAACGCACTTGAATTGCATGCAGTCTTTTACCATGACTGAGCGATTTCTCACACGCTGATTGGTCGAGAGCTACGTTCGTTAAGAGTACAGGGCATAGAAATGACGTGATGGTGGCGCAATTCCAGCAAAAATAAAAGTCGAAACTGTCAATATTATGGTAAAAAACCAATCGACAATAACTGTCCATGGTCTGTACTCTTCTCGACCATAGAAATGAAGTCAAAATGTTCAAAACTTTTCAATGAAACCATTCGCCTGCGGCTTGTGGTTTCACATGAGTGTTGAACATTTTGACATCATTTCTATGGTCGATATTAGAGTACAGAGGCATGGAAAATTCTTGGCATTTCGAATTGTTAATTACCTCAAGTCACACGGTTCACACAATGAATGTAAACCAGCTAGTGGGATCAATCAGTCATTTACAGGCATGGCTAGTCACAAGTTTATTAGTTAATTAACCCCCTCGGAAGTACATGCAAATTCTACATACCCCCCACCGTGATACTAGTGGGGGGGGGGGGGTGGAAGGAACCCCTCCGAAGAGTTTTTGATATGTTGCGGTATTTCAAACTGATTTTGCCTTCAGTGTACAGTCTTTGATCTACCAATTCTCTCAAAAAGATGAGGTATATTTTATGGGTGATGGCCCTGCTGGAGGCCTGTGACGTCACCAACAATGGTCGCAATCTTGGCCGCGATCTTGGATTTTACCAAGAATTAGAAATCAGGTGAAAACCAAGATCAATGGAAATTCTAGTGTGCTGAACATGTCAAAAACACATAAATAAGCACCATTTCATCCACAAGCTTTACTTTTATTGTTGAAAGAAGTTGAAAAAACATGGATTTTCACTCAAAAATGGCTTGAACACCTGCTACTTATGACGTCATATCTCGTAACCATAGTAACCGATCATCACTTAACTTGCCTCAAAATGCGCGCGAGGGATAAACGCACAGCTACTGTAAACGTCAGGGGTTAATGTTTTATCGTCCAGGAAAAAAAATCAAAAAACCTGAGAGGGGTGTGGCAACCCATTCCCCCTCCCCCTTGTACGTCCAAGGGTATTCATGGAACAGGTCTAGTTTAGTGCACTTATGAGTAGCGTTAGTGTGTTTACTGAGGAGGCCTTTGCCGATACGTATTAATTTTTATTAGAAATTATCAGGTTTAGCTATATTTTCTATTGTACCAACCTGGGCGCAGTTGTTCGAATGCCGATTAGCGCTTAACCCAGGGTTAAATTTAAGCCAGGTCTCTTTTTTTTTGGTCCGAAAGCATTTTCTCGGAAAATTTTCTCTGTTCTTTTTAAGAGCATCCAATCATCAAGTTGTTGACAGAAAGAATTAAATTGAATTTACCTTTTAAGCTTTCATATCTGAATGCAAATTTCGCGTCAACCCTGGGTTATCTTAACCCAGCTTTGAATAACCCGGCCCTGGTGAATTCTTATCGTGTTCAATTAAATAAAGATCTGATTAATTTAATACCAATTATCTGTCTTATAGTTTACCTTAATGCGATTAGTATCTCTTTGCTCAACCATAACTTCCCTGATTGAAAACGTACTCCGTTAGCTGGCTCTAGTAAGTAACGTTTCGCTGCAGGGCTTTTCTTTAGACCAAACAAATATAAAAATAAAAACAAAATAAAGATTTGTTAATAATGGAAAGTGCGCCTAGCTTATCCTGCTACATGTAGTTTACAGGCCCTCTATTCAAATAATTATAGAAACATAACAGGATAAAAAAAACAACAACTGGCAGGAGGCAACCATTTGGCTATTTACAAGAGTGGCCGAAGATTGAAATCCAGCAAGTGGCCAGAGCGGGACTCAAACCCGGGCCCAACGGATGGTGGGTTCGATTCTTTGGCTCCCTTACTACAGTAAGGGCTAGTTCACAACTGCATGAGCCCGAGTGGAATGTTTGAATTTACAGTGCAACAATAGGCTATTTCCGAGTGCCCCGGGCCTCTGTATCAAAACAAGGTTACGTACTCAGTCTAGCTTTGATAAGGGAATTATTTTTCATTCTCATGCTAAGTAAAAGTCATTTTCACAAGAAAGATTGTGCACTTGGCCTCATTTTGAAAGTGAGAGTTTTTGGAACTCACAAGTGGCCTTTTTAAACACTTCAAAGACCAACCCATTTCCAAGTTCTTGTCTCATTACTCAGCGGTACCTGCACCAGTACCAACTTCCCAAGAGCAGCAGACGACATCGAAGCCATGGACACCAACACCACCAGCGATCATTTGTAACACTTCAGCGTGCACTGACATCTCTCAAGGTTGGTGTTTGAAGCATTTTAATTTTTTGCACTTCGATCTCCCTGTAAGAGAGCCTCTGCTCTCAGGGTACCCTCTCTTTGGCTCTGTTACTAAAGGAAGGGCTAATCTGCACCGTTGCGAGCTGCATGAGCCCAAGTGGAATGAAACAGTTCTTTCATTGATAGATACTGTGTTTGCAGGGCTATTTGGTACTTCAAGACCCAAACAGATCTTATGAGTTTGCAGTGTATGAGGGTATACTATGACAACAAATACTATCTACATAAGACCAAATCAAGACTCATAGCATGATCATGCTTAATGCATTTCTGGATCATGTCTAATACATTTCTACATATCGATTTTGTCATGATTTCAGATATCTCCAGACAGCTAAACAAAGCAGTGAATCCTTGTGATGATTTTTACTCTTACACTTGCGGAGGATTTTTCAAAAGTCATGAGCTCAGAGAAAATCAAAGCAAGGAAACGGTCTTGTCTATCCTCAACGATGACAATATGAGAGTTATAAGGCAAACGTTACAGAATGGTACTTCTGTTTACCCTCAGGTTTGAAATACTGAAAGTTTTTTTTAGTTTGCTGACTATTTACCTTTTTAATCCACGAAACCATGTCAGGACTGGTGGGGATATAAACTTCATACCAGGTCCATGAATTCCCTGCTAAAACTAGACAAAGTTAAAGAAAACTGAAGTGAGGCTTATTTTCTGCAATGTCAAAGAACAAGCTACTGGTATTATTTAAAATGGCAAAGTTAAGAGTTTTAATTTGAATAGACCTCTAAATAGTCACACCAGAACTTACATCTGCGGTCGTCAGAGTAAAAGAGGCTTGGTCTTCGAAATATCCCTGGTCCCATTTCTAGCATTTCAGAATCCGATATCTTAATTCAAAATGAATAGAAAATAAACCAAAGTGCTTTTCTTAGACGCACTTTGGTATGCGAACAAGCTCTCTTAACAAGTAAGTAACGTTTCGCTGCAGGGCTTTTCTTTAGACCAAACAAATATAAAAATAAAAACAAAATAAAGATTTGTTAATAATGGAAAGTGCGCCTAGCTTATCCTGCTACATGTAGTTTACAGGCCCTCTACTCAAATAATTATAGAAACATAACAGGATAAAAAAAGAAAAAAACTGGCAGGAGGCAACCATTTGGCTATTCACAAGAGTGGCCGAGGATTGAAATCCAGCAAGTGGCCAGAGCGGGACTCGAACCCGGGCCCAACGGATGGTGGGTTCGATTCTTTGGCTCCCTTACTACAGTAAGGGCTAGTTCACAGCTGCATGAGCCCGAGTGGAATCTTTGAATTTACAGTGCAACAATAGGCTATTTCCGAATCCCCCTGGCCTCTGTATCAAAACGAGGTTAAGTACTCAGTCTTTGATAAGGGAATTCTTTTTCATTCTCATGCCAAGTAAAAGTCATTTTCACATGAAAGATTGTGCACTTGGCCTCATTTTGAAAGTGAGAGTTTTTGGAACTCACAAGTGGCCTATTTAAACACTTCAAAGACCAACCCATTTCCAAGTTCTTGTCTCATTACTCAGCGGTACCTGAACCAGCACCAACTTCCCAAGAGCAGCAGACGACATCGAAGCCATGGACACCAACACCACCAGCGATCATTTGTAACACTTCAGCGTGCACTGACATCTCTCAAGGTTGGTGTTTGAAGCATTTTAATTTTTGCACTTCGATCTCCCTGTAAGAGAGCCTCTGCTCTCAGGGTATACTCTCTTTGGCTCTCTTACTACGGTAAGGGCTAATATGCACCGTTGCAAGCTGCATGAGCCCGAGTGGAATGAAATAGTTCTTTGATAGATACTGGGTTTGCAGTGCTATCTGACACTTCAAGGCCCAAACCGTTCTTATGAGTTTGCAGTATATGAGGGTATACTATGACAACAAATATTATCTACATAAGACCAAATCAAGACCAATAGCATGATCATGCTTAATAAATTTCTACATATCGATTGTGTCATAATTTCAGATATCTCCAGACAGCTAGACAAAGCAGTGAATCCTTGTGATGATTTCTACTCTTACACTTGCGGAGGGTTTTTCAAAAGTCATGAGCTCCGAGAAAATCAAAGCATGGAAACGGCCTTTTCTATCCTCAACGATGACAATATGAGAGTTATAAGGCAAACGTTACAGAATGGTACTTCTGTTTACCCTCAGGTTTGAAATACTTTTTTTTTTTTTAGTTTGCTGACTATTTACCTTTTTAATCCACGAAACCATAACAGGACTGGTGGGGATATAAACTTCATACCAGATCCATGAATTCCCTGCTAAAACTAGACAAAATTAAAGAAAACTGTAGTGAAGCTTATTTTCTGCAATGTTGAAGAACAAGCTACTAGTATTATTTAAAATGGCAAAGTTAAGAGTTTTAATTTGAATAGACCTCTAAATAGTCACACCAGAACTTACATCTGCGGCTGTCAGAGTAAAAGGGACTTGGTCTTCGAAATATCCCTGGTCCCATTTCTAGCATTTCAGAATCCGATATCTTAATTCAAAATGAATAGAAAATAAACCAAAGTGCTTTTCTTAGACGCACTTTGGTATGCGAACAAGCTCTCTTAACGCGGTCAACGGGGCAAACAAGTTGCCAGGCTCTCCGGCCCAGGTCGAGGCAAGTTTCTAGGCTTTTGGTATGTATCCACCGTTACTATGACAACTATTACTATAACTCACGTATGAACTAATATAATAATGTATTTCCCCAAGGCACTTACTCAAAGTTTCGGCTAAGAGTTGGAAGGTGGGATAGGGGAGCCTATTTCATGGAGGCATAAATCTTTTATGCTTCTTGATTATTGTCACTCCCAGATAACAAAAAAAATACTAGTCTAACCAACTGTATTGGTTACAGAGCTCATCCATAAGGAAAACCATCCAAATTTACAACTCTTGCGTAAATACAGCTGCTATCAACAACCGAGGAATAGCACCCTTAGTAAGCTTGATAGAGAAGTACGGTGGATGGAGTGTAACGGGACATGGACTAAACTCCTGGACAGTTCAAGAAAAAATGGGACACATCCAAAGAGACCTGAATGTACAGACTTTGCTGTCTGTATCGGTTAGGACGGATTTCATGGATTCCACTCGTAACATTCTTATGGTATGCAAAACATTTAACGAGTTGTGGCATGTTAGAAACCGCAAAACAGCCAAAGAATCCCAGAGCAATCCACCCTTTCAGGGATCCAAGTTCTGTTTGCTTAAAACCGAAAACCTCACTGAATAATAAATCCAAAGCACCGCTTAGATGTTGATTAAAATTGAATACCAACTACTAAAATAAAAGAAAACTACAAAAAAGCAAGAATCAAAACCGAAAAGGCTTTGAAAAATGATCACTTCCGCAATCTGAAATTTCCACTGTCCTGCAGTGCTCCGCAAGGAAGTAGGCAGGTAGTTGACTTAACAAGCGAATCACATAAAACAACAGTCTTTTAAATGACGAACATATGGCCTTAGTTCCTTGATCGCAAGGGATTGTGGAGAACGGAAACCTGTAAGTATCTGAAAAAAAACTTCTGCAATCAGCAAGTTGAACTCACATTTAGTCTCCCTCGAAGCCGTTTTTGTTTCGTGTGATGAGACAAAAACGGCTGCGAGGGAGACTAAACTCACATTTAAAGGGCAGAAACGACAATCGAACCACACCTTTAGCTTAGACCTCTTTTTAAATACCTCCGCACAGTTCATGCTTTGTAAGGGAGGTTGCTACAATACAGGTCAGATATTATTGAGTTTTCATATGCGAATTTATAATATCAGCTATCATTCAGATGGTTCTATCAAATCTATTTACTAGATTAGTCCCTCAGTGCTTGGTATGAGTGCGAGCTACTATGACAAATACACGGAGGATCCTGAGATATTAAAGGTTGGTTTATGAAACATTTATTTCAGAAAAAAAATGGGTATGAATCATGCTTTGCAAAATTACTACCGTGTACATCGTGCGATTCCATAGTAAGAAGGAAGAAAATTAATTACTACCTTCATCAAAGACTTAAAGTATAGCACAATTCAGATTATATTTTATCAATCTCGTTATAAATGCAGTAGATAAAGCTTCTAATTTGAAGATTAGTAATATTTATAATATATATCACCCATTTTGCGCAAATTAACATATGGGTTCCCCTGCGGATAATATCAGGCAGTCTCTAGCGCGCAGACTCACCACTGATGCCTCTCTTGTATTAAACTAGTACTTCCTAGAAGTAGACGCCGGTTTTTTTGCCATCATTTTATCCCACTTCTGAGGCAAACAACAGCTATAAAAAAAGAAACTTAATGAGGCTGTTCTTGCAGTTACGCTGCATTCTGAAGCCTAAGAAGTACTAGTTAAAATACTTGAGCAAAAGCTCTGCCTTTGGAACCAATTTGCTTTTCCCAAGGTGGTTCGAAGTCAGCGCATGTATCGCACATGTGAAATAAAATGAGAAGACTATATTTAAAGTTAATTGGTGAATATTTTAATATTCATTAATTAGCTGAGAAGAAGATTACAAAAAAGTTAACTATACTGTTTGATAATTAATCAACCAAGCTGATTCAGTTGTGTTGGGGTTTACAGAGGTCGGGGGGGAGGGTACTCCCTATAATGGCCTGTAAGGGGAGGCTCCGCCCGAAAAGAATTCCTTTTTCAGGCTTCAGGTATATGAAAGGGTAGGAATTTCGCTAGTTAAAGTATGTAAAAGGGTAGGGAGGGTAGGGAAGTCTGTCATCATGGTCAGTAAAAAGGCCCAAAATGGCTATCAGATGAATTTTATGGCTTTAAAAAGTCGAAAACACGTTCTGGTTTTGTGATTGATTCGTATTTAAAATACAGTGCATTTCAGGAGTTAAAAGGGACTTAGACAATCTAAAAGTCCTTTTTTTCCTGGTTGGTTACGCCATTTTAAAGGACTTTTCATACCTGTTTGGCGCGAAACTCACCGGTCAAAAATTCTACCGGTGACGTCATGACAAATGACCAATAGGACAGTAAGTGATATTTCACGCGGCTCCCAATACAGAATATTTTAATCATTTTTTTCCCGCGTGAATTTATAATATGATTCAAATCCATTCGAGCGAACTTGACAAATCGACCTCGAGACTTGCTCGGTTGCTGGGCGACTTATTAGAGACTTATTATTAAGTCTAAAAGGGATTCAAAGTTCTAAACTAGGTATGTGAAAGGGGCACCATTTGTCAATAGAAGGAATACGAAAGGGGTACCTTTTTCGTGAAAAATGAAAATGATACACAAAAGGGTAAAAAAAAACTTTTTTGAGCCCCCCCGGGACACAGGCTCACGTGTGACTCCAATTCTACCCATTAATTTGTCAAAGATTGAACACATAATGATAATTGAATTTTGCCAACTCCATCACTCATTTCCTTTTTTTTCCTTTACATTAAGATTCAACGCGCGTACAAAAAGTACATGAAAACTATTGCACGTCTACTTGGAGGAGGATCAGATGCAAAGCAGAAGATGATGCGTATATATAACTTCGAAAGAGACATTGCCAATGTAAGTTATGTTTCAGATATCGTAATAAATTGAAGGAGGAAAGACTAAAAACGATTGTTCCCCTAACAAAAATCTAACTGTCGCAACCACTCATTGGTGAGATGCCAGAGTAAATTTGGTGCAGTGGACTCCTTCACGGTCTTTTCGCGTGGACCAGTTACCGAAAATCCGTCTACAGTGGCAGTGTCTATACCAATAAAGCTCGTATACGAGATGCAGAACTTTTTAGGGGAAGCCACCCACTATTTTCGCGCAGTTGCTGACAGGACAAAAACCAACGCATACAAATGTAATGTTTTGCACTTAGAAACTTGATGAACGCCTCAATCATATAAATATAAAAATTTAAAGTTAGCTTGGGGACAATGTGAGGTGCATGCTCCCTTCATGTTATGCGGCGAACTCTTCGTTCCTGTTTCGAAATAAAACATTTTACACTCCAGAATCGACTGATTTAAGACAGACTGTTAAGAATCCACCTGCTTATATCCGCGAATGTCCCATGTGTTATACTATATATTTTCCAGTTGGCCACTGGCAAAGCATTCTCATATGACTTGGTAGAATCCCTTGAGCAGTACTATCACTCAAGACGATCCTTGGGCTCATCAGTGGACAAGACCATACGTGAATTTTGCTGGGACTCAACTTTCGACGTACGTAAATGGAGACTCCCAGGAGAACCGGGATACTTTTTAAAGTATTTTTTTTAACTGAAGGATTACTTATCCCGAAATTCTAATTGGTGGCAAATTCAATTAAGTTTTTAAGGAATTTAGAGTTAAGGACTTCTGTTCCAAGAATTTCGCGGGAAACTTATTTGGCATAATTATTACATCAATAAAAGCCGATACCAGAAATTTTAGAAAAAAAAACGTCAGCAAAATGTTTTACAAGATAAAAAAATATATATATAAATATATTTTTTACCAGTTAAATATAAGTATTATTTCATATTGTTGATAACTGATATCTGCAGCTTTTTTAAAAAGTTTCGTAGTCATCGCCTTAATAGAAACAAAAAAGCTATGACAAAACGTTGGTCATAGAACTTGCAAGTTAGTTGGCGGATAACAAGCATTCTGTTTTCAACTTTGCTGGCACTTATTTCCTGTCATGTTGCTTGCAATGAAATCAATATTTCGATCAGTTGCCTACAACAATAAGCTATTTTAGAAGTAAGCTAAATCCTATGCAGATTGTGGGAACGTTTGGTTCAAAACGAGGGCGTGCAAAACGGCTTCGGGATCGTTTAGCCTGCGTAGTATGGCAGTTTAGGTGGGGCGCGTAAACAAGCTAAGGCGGGCGAGGACGGTAAAAACGCGAGGAGATTTGACCGGGAACATTGAGAACCCCACCCCCCACTGACTCGCGGCCTTGAGGAGCACGCCCGACAAAACAGCCATGTTACGCAGGCTAGGGTTGGTCCAGGGCTTACAAGTGCCAAGTGGAGCAACATACAAGCAAGCCTAGCTGGCTATCGAAGAAGAAGGAAAAGAAAACTAGAAGTTTAATAGGAAATTTAAACCGCAGTAGCTTATTCTTGTGAATGGTTGAATCTGAATCGAAACAACCACACCGAATTCGTGTGGACGAAAATAATATTATGCGATCATAAGTCTACCCGTATTCGGTGGACAGGGCCTTAATAGTCATCGAAATGTAAATATACGTTTTCAATCGTCTACACGAAAGTTCGCAAATCCGTCGGATCTAAAAAAAAAAACTGAAAAGTCTAGGAGAGTACTTTAAGAAAGATAGGGTTTCGGCAAGAGAGATCCGATGAGTCCAGGGCGGTAAGTAGATTCACTGCATGATTTCCCTGTGAATGGAAGGCCGATTTACGTAAAACAATATGCGGTTTCAAAAATTTCCGGATTCGTGTGAACCGGGCCTAATTTATGGGAGGGATACTGTTGAACAACTTCAACCCAAAGGTTTTGCCTTTTTTTTTCTCATTAACCCAGGTTTTTAACACATTACTTTCGTACTAAATTTTCAACTAGTACTATTTTTCCGTCCACAGTTAGATTTTATCCTGGACTTCTTAAACACCGCGTTTTCGAACCAGGGAATTACTTTCAACTCTTGGGAAAGCGTTTTTTATGGTTCGGCATCTATCTTCTCAGACATTGCTTCGACTTATCAGACTACGTAAGTATAAATGCTGGTTCTACTTCTTTATCACTAATTTATTTAATTAACGGATTGATAAATACGAGTAGCGTTTTATGAATAGCACTGAGTTGTGTCTACGGAGTCAAATTTTCCTGTTAGCGGTGTACCTTTACATGAAAAAATGTTCTCATTTTTCTGGAATTCAGTTTCTATAAAATGAATATCCGCGCCCTTCTCGCCGGTTTTCCGATTTATTTTGACAAATTTTCTAACGTCTCTAACCAATGAATGCGCTGTTTTAAACACGAAAAAGCAGTAGACCTGCACCGTTCTAAGCCTCTTGTTTGACCGGTCCCCTTTAATCTGCACTTCCATTGTTTTCAAGGATAGGGGCATTGTTATGTGACAATCCCTATTGTTTTCCCAGCTAATGAAAAACAATCTTTCAAATAGGTGCGGGGCCGCCCCGAAAAAGAGAGGGTGTCGTCGGATTGCACCTTAAACTAAAAAAGGCGTCAGTAAAAAGATCAATGCATAATAAGTGCTAACAACGAAAACATAAAGATATGACATCATAATAGACAGCCCTAAGTCAATGTTTGCCTGCCTAAATAACTGAAAACTACCATATGTTTATACACTTAAAGGGCTGGGTTGCATAAAGAATCTTAAGATTATATTGCGGGAACTCGTACGTTCTGTCAAAAACAGTAGGTTAATCAGGTTAATGTTCCTAATTTTAATGCACCTTTCGATTGTTTTGAACAGGTTATAATTTTCAATAAATGGAAGGGCAGGTCACTGACTTGAAATAAGAGGTCATTAGTATGTGTACTCAAACGGTGACAAGTGAAATTATTCCCTAATTTCACGAATATACCATTTGATTACCTATTAATATCATGGCTGACGAACTACGTTAGCAATCGTGAATTTTTGACATGTTCATCGTGGATCGTATCGATCGAGAACTCCACTCTCTCACTTAATGCTTAGGCCTTAAATTTGGCTAAGTTCAGAATTTTCAAAAATGTTTGACAAACTGTACCTGTTAGAATCCTTCTTGATGTGCTCTTTCGAGTGTTCAGGTTTTCTAAAGCATCTTTTTGTGCCCTGACATCTTCATTCACGGCATTTTAAAACTTCGACGCCATCTTGACACTGAGACGTAAGGAAGGTTGCCATGGCAATTTGGTGATTTCACATGTGAAATTACAAATTAACGCTGAGATTTCGCGCCAAATTGAAGGAGTAATTCGTCAACTATGACATGATTACGAATAACAACCTACTGCTCCATTTCAGTGGCCACAATAATGACCTGCTGGTTCTAAAACAATGCAAAGGTGCATTAAATCGGATAATGACCTCGCGCTGCGCGTTCGGTCATTTTTTTCAAGAAGGCCTCTGAGCTCAGGCATTATCCTATGTATAATACTCAAGAGTCCTGTAAGAAGAACGTATTATGTAACCAGTTCCCGACATGTCTAAAGGGCAACCATTCATGGTGATATTTGCTTTAATTAGCTCCCACGACATTATCAAGGACTACATAATGTGGCGAGTTGTTTCCCGGTACGTTTCGTCAATGCCTGATGTATTTGTTCAGGCTAAGCTTGAGTTTGTCAAGACTGTGGCTGGGGCGCGAGAATATCAAAGATGGTCTGCTTGTATTGAGCAAATGATGACACCAATGGACATGACTCTGGGGAGGATGTATGTTGATGCACATTTTGACGAAGCAACTAAAACAACGGTAAAGTGACTCCTTTGATTTAACGAGTTTTGAGTGTAAAGCAGCCGTATTTTGGGGCTGATCATAGGAAAGTTTGGAAACGGAGTGTGAGACTGGGGAGAGATGGACGAGTGAGGAAACGCACGGAAATTCAGTTATGGCGGTTCTCGGTCCATGCGTGCGGCGATTAGGGGAGAAAAAAACCATTCTGATTCGATTTAAGGTGTTTCGATAGAGTTTTTTGGAGACCATACAGATATTTTTCAATCGCCTTTAAAGTGATTTTAGTCCAGTCCAATCGCAATAAAATTTTCACCACCAACTGATCTTCGATTGAGGTTTGTCAAAATGTAGTTTTATGTGGTAACGCGCCGGCAACGATAAACAAAAATCTTTGAAATCAGATAAAGACGAATTTCGGTAAATCTAGACCTGCCATCTTTGAGTTTTTAGTTTTCCCACGTGTCAGGTGGAAGTACTAGTCTCTAAAGCAAAACAAAAATGATAAAGAGGTCTTAAATTATAAGTCGAAAGGTGCACAATATAAAAAGTCCTGGACAAAATAGATAATGAAGAATTGACAACTACTTTTACCAGGGGACACAGGCATCATGCACTTGATTTGAGTTTATATATTGTTTTCTTAGCGTTGTTTTTGTTTTGTTTCTTTTATTTCCGTCACTGATCAGGTGTAGTTGCTTTGACACTTGCTTCTGTTGGCATCTGATGTTGTTAAAAAATCTTTCTTTTGTTTCAGGTACAGGAAATGACGACTCTTATTCGCAAGGCCTTTATCAGTAACCTCGATTCAGCGGATTGGATGGATACAGAAACAAAAGAGGCTGCCAAAGAAAAGGTGCAGTTTAAAATGGCACAGAAGAAATTTGCCTGAATTTCAGTGATGTTGCCTCAGAATGCTGGAAACCTCATTTCTGAGGATTTAAATTTCGAAATTTTATGAGTGTGCTTCCCAATCCCTTGGATACTTCTGCTCTAACTGGTCGTTCATTTTTTAACTTGTTACTAAAGATCTTATTTTTAACATAAAGCTTGCCTTGAAGAGAATATATTTAGCATATATATTGAACATATGAAACCACGCAGGTAACTGTCTCTATTGGCAGGGTACAAACCAGAAAATAAATTCTGTAACTCGGAGTAGTTCAGTTATTTAACAATTAATGAATGAGGCTGAGTATCTTATAAAGAATAGACCTTGTCACGGTTTTCGACGCCATCTTGACAAGTAGGCAAACGCGTGAGAAATTAAAGTGATTGTATGAGAATCTAATGTCGAATAATTTCCGTAGAACGGCTGTTCTGAAAAAAATATGACTTGTAAACTAAAGCTTCACTTCTAAAGATTCTCCTGAAAAAAATTGAGGGCGTTACATTCACTTGAAGACCCAGAACCACTTTGTTAAATTTTCTATACATTTGTCTGTAAGAAAGTCCCGGGAAAATTACAGACAAATATATGGAAAATCTAAAGCAAGCCTCGGGAGAAATTTAAGCACAGGTACATCCCCAAAATTTTTCAGGACAATCCTTTGCACTGTAGCTTTAGTTTACAATTGATATTTTTTTCAGAACAGCCGTTTTACGGTAATTATCCGACATTAGATTCTCATACAAACAATGTAATTTCTCACGCGTTTGCCTACTCGTCAAGATGGCGTCGAAAACCGTGACAAGGTCTATTATGGAGATCGAGGAGGGTGTTATCCGTCGAGGCCGTAGGCCGAGACGAATAACACCCTCCGAGATCTCTATAATTCTTCATATGATACGAAAGCCGTTTTATTATTCATTCAAAATAATTCCTAGTTTAAAAACATAGCTAAAACAAGCTTACCTGCATCGATGCAAAGTGTCACTTCACCGAAGATACACTTAACGTTTAGGTTTGTCCAGCTCCGCAAATATTCTCCAAATAGCAGATGTCGCCCTCCGAATTGTCTTCTTGCTGTTTTTGTTATGTTTTTAGCCATTATTTCGCCTAGTTCCAGCTGTAGTTCTTACTCTTGAAACGAGTGGAGTGTCTGCCATTTTAGTTTTTACAACGAAAACAACTCAATCTCGTCCCCAGGTCTTCTCGGTTAAAGGTGCATTAACCTGTAGAAGGCTGCATTTCTTCCAAATTTGGTCATCAGTAACCGGTTATGGTGAATTATGCGTGTGCTTTTAGCCAATCAGAATTGGGGAAATATTTTGAATGAATAATAATGCTTATTAATTAATTGTTAAGTTCAGAGTCGCCAACTTTTGAGATCTGGACCCTGACCAGAAAGTTTTACTAAAATAATGGCACTAACACGTAATAACATAATAACATGCCATCATTTCAGGCCAATGCTATAAAAGAGGATNAATTATCCGACATTAGATTCTCATACAAACAATGTAATTTCTCACGCGTTTGCCTACTCGTCAAGATGGCGTCGAAAACCGTGACAAGGTCTATTATGGAGATCGAGGAGGGTGTTATCCGTCGAGGCCGTAGGCCGAGACGAATAACACCCTCCGAGATCTCTATAATTCTTCATATGATACGAAAGCCGTTTTATTATTCATTCAAAATAATTCCTAGTTTAAAAACATAGCTAAAACAAGCTTACCTGCATCGATGTTAAGTTTAACTTCACCGAAGATACACTTAACGTTTAGGTTTGTCCAGCTCCGCAAATATTCGCCAAATAGCAGATGTCGTCCTCCGAATTGTCTTCTTGCTGTTTTTATTATGTTTTTAGCCATTATTTCGCCTAGTTCCAGCTGTAGGTCTTACTCTTGAAACGAGTGAAGTGTCTGCCATTTTAGTTTTTACAACGAAAACAACTCAATCTCGTCCCCAGGTCTTCTCGGTTAAAGGTGCATTAACCTGTAGAAGGCTGCATTTCTTCCAAATTTGGTCATCAGTAACCGGTTATGGTGAATTATGCGTGTGCTTTTAGCCAATCAGAATTGGGGAAATATTTTGAATGAATAATAATGCTTATTAATTAATTGTTAAGTTCAGAGTCGCCAACTTTTGAGATCTGGACCCTGACCAGAAAGTTTTACTAAAATAATGGCACTAACACGTAATAACATAATAACATGCCATCATTTCAGGCCAATGCTATAAAAGAGGATGTGGGATACCCACTATACATAAAAGACGACTGGAAACTTGACCAACATTACTCCATGGTAATGTAGATTTATCGTAATTGAGGCGAAACATTTTCCCTTAATTAAAATGTCCTTTTGTTCTGCCTGTTGCCTGTTTACAAACAATAACTAGGTAGTTGTGTCTGCACTGAGAAGGTTTGCCGTTTAGTGGCATTGATTAGGCAAAATATCAGGGTTTATTAGGTAGAAGGAAAAGGCCGTCTTTTCAAATCTCTTTTTCCCTAATAGGCCCTAAGAAGGCAGGGGCAACAGGGGGCGAAACCAGCAATGCAACATGGGGCAGCTTGTTTTTGCGCCTTTTGCCTCGCCCGCTTATTTTCATTTTTTTTGTCTACAAGAGCAACAGAAATTAGTCCATCTATCACGTGGCTAATCTCTCTCATAATCAAATCATGTCATTGCTTATTATCTCGTCTAGATTTATACATTTATTTTGTTTTGTTGTGTTTTCCAAAATCACCAGCTGACAATCGATGACAATTATTTTGAAAACACAGTGGCAATGAACAAGATGTTGGTCCAAAAAAACTTTGGAATGCTTCGTCACCCAGTCAACAAGGATTTGTAAGTAATATAATGCCGCTTGTCAGCCCATTTCAGCCAAAGAAGGCTGAAGTTTGATTGAGGATGTGCATCATTTGATATTCCAGAGTTCACCAGTATATCCGTAAAATAGGACCTTCAGGAGAAACAGCAACTATAAGTCATTCAGCTACCTTTAACATGTTGTTTCATATTAGTCAGTAATCATATTCCCCAACATTCTGATTCAGGCACTTAATTTACAACAACAAAAGTAACTGCTTTCCCTTTAGAATCCGCTTCTCTACTTAAATATAAGCCACACTACGAGTAACAACTCGTACAAAATTATAAGTCATAAAATTTCAAAGTCTGGTTAGAATTTGTTTTCTAAACTATCAATTACCAACATTTCGATTCTGAATTTTAAAACAAGTTATATACATAAATCTGCTCTTCTAGGTGGGGAATGGGCCCTGCACAAATCAATGGATATTACAATCCACAGCAAAATCGAATAGGTATGTGGGAGTTCCCATTTCGTGGCAGGCATGTTGTAGTTGAGGTTGGTTAGAATAAAAATCCGTCAAAATTTTACTTTAGCTTCTACTTTGTTTTAATGAAAACGAAAACCAAAAATAAACAAGAAACAAAACAGTAGAAGACAAACGTATAGAGGCCATCCGGAATGCACAATATCAGAAAGATTTAACATTGCTCTAGAGATTCGGTCTAGAACTCGGAGCGGGTCGTGAGTTCAAAGCTCACTTGGACTTCGGGATTTTTTTTGAGCTTTCTCGTGTTTAATTTCTCCTTCTTCCAAATTGAAATACAGCATAGTTGACTGATATTTACGCACGACCACAAGTCTTGTTATGATCTGAATAACAGCTTAGTCGCACCAATCCGCAACCCTGTTTAATTTTGTACTCATTTGTCTTTTTTTTTCCATAGTATTTTTGGCGGGAATCTTGCAATCACCTTTTTACAAGAAAAATGCCCCAAAGTAAGTGATACGAAGTCGACTTCGTGACATTTTGTGGCTGTAAAACTGTTTGTAAACCACAGAGCTCGAGGCGAGATAAATGTCTGGCCAGAGAGATTTTTTTTATTATTATTTGATAAAACTTGCACAAAAAAGGATAACCACGAAGCAGCAAACCTAGCTCAAATGGTCGTTGACACACACCCCTTTCTCACTGAAACCCTGACCTGCCCTTCCTAATTTAACAGAGGATAACGCCAAGGAGGGTCTCCGTTATATTGGGGTTATTCTTTACATCTGAGGTTTTAAGTGCATCATAATGTTATGAAACAAATTACATACTGCTTCCTTTCGCCAGGTATCTCAACTATGGTTCACTGGCAATGGTCATTGGACATGAAATTACCCACGGATTCGACAATAGAGGTATTTTTTCAGTTAAAGATTCTGCAGGCATAAACGTTTTCAGACGACACGAAACTGAATACATCAAACTTAATGAACATGAGACTTACACGTTACGAATTGTTAGGAAGATCCTGGAACAAGGTCAATTTCTGTGGAAAAAGGAGAAAATAGGCTTTAAAAAAGTCAAGAACACACCACACTGTTTTATATTAAATATAGTCAAGATTTAAACATAGTAATGTCTTTCTATTTTCTGTAAGTTCAGACGACGTGGAAAAATTGTGATGTGTTCGTTTTTATTACTGAGTAGCATCGATTTTCACAGCTTAATTCTAAGTTTCTTGGTAAGATTTCGTGCGCATGACATAGGGAAAAATGCTGGCGCCGTCATTGCATCTTTCACATCGTCCATAACTACTCTTATAGACAATAGTCCCGACCAATGAGCCTGCGACAATTTCTACACCAGTTTTTTTTTATGTATACCAAGCTGTTTCGTATATTCTTATCTCTGCCCTTTGTAGGTCGTCTTTTTGATAAAAATGGAAATTTTAAGGATTGGTGGTCTTACGAATCGGAGTTTAACTTCAAAGATAGGAGCCAATGTCTTGTTGATCAATACAGCAACTACGAGGTGTTTGGAGAATACGTAAGTATATAGCGCAATAACTTTAGGGGCAAGGATTTTCTAATTGAAGTCTCCTGTGTCGTAAAAATCGTAAAATTAAATCCCAAATAAACCATTGGTAATAAAGCCCAAAAAAAGAACTTTTGGCTAAGATACTAGCTAGTACTAAAAGTGTTAGCTCTTTTCAAAAATACGATGTTATTACAGCCCAAAAGTCTGTAGCCTGGTTAAAAAGGCATCCCGGGGACGAAGTGGAAAAAATACGGTACGTCGCAGGTACGGGGTTGAAGAGGAGCCGAATTGCAACAGCTTGTATGAAACGTACTGTCTTACTATTATAGGGTTCCAAACAGTTAAAATTATGAACATTTTTATAATAATTTAACATTGTACTTATTACATTATTGATTATTCTTTACGCAGATAGACGGTCAACAGACGTTGGGTGAAAACATCGCTGACAACGGAGGGATAAAACTAGCATACGAAGTAAGTTGGCATATGAACAAAGATAGAAGTGTTTTTCAACTTTAGAATTTGTTGCTTTACCGTTTTTTTTAAAGTTCATTCTCAGTATAGAATCATGTGACTGTGTTACGATTCTCTGCTATTTCAGTATTGCATTGTTTTACACTTGCAATGCATTCTATCAGTTACCATGGTACTGTGGAAAAATGTATGGAAATTTGTGTTTTTAGAATAACGAGCAAGCAACAACAGAGACTGAGATATTCTTACAGGTTATTTTAGCGTGCTATTTTTTTACCTTATTGTTTGTTTGTTGTTACATTTGGCCAGAAAGAATTGATTCAGTCGCAGATCTACACTATGCAACGGTATTGTTGCAAGAGCCGATTACCCGATTGGGGTAAATCACTCGAAGAGCTTGTATGAGAGATGAAGGCTCCGGGTAATCAGCTCCTAACAAGAGCCATAATGTGACCCATTATAGCTCTTGGCTCCTAATTATTGATATTAATCTTGATTTCTCTGTCAAATTTCCTTGTACTTCAGGCATACCAGTCCTGGGTGAAGGCCAATGGAAGGGAGAATCCTTTACCCGATCTTTCAATGAGCGTGGATCAACTTTTCTTTATCGGATTTGCAACGGTATGTTTTAGTACTCCGGCGTTTTTTCCACCGTCGCCGTTGCCCGTCGTCGTTGCTTAGGGAAGGACCATAAGGAAAGTAAAGGGGGTGGGGAGTCCTGCTTCAGCGTGGAAATTTTTTTGGCTCGCTATGTGTGCATGTTTATTTTTTTTTCTGCCTGTCTCAGCTGTGTGCATTTTTTCACGTATAATTTTTCATGTAGATTTTTTCTTTTTGTTTTTTTTTTTCGCAACCCGTCTCACCGCCCTCTTCACTTCCTTAAAAAAACGCTACCACGGCTTGTTTGTTCAAACCCTGGGCTTATACATCGTCGTAAGGGGTTTTAAGAGGGCTAATAAAAGGAAGGGCGTATAACCGGAATAGAAAAAGTGCTTCGAAACAAGCTATACTGACAGTGCTGATCAAAATACGTTTTCAATTTACTGATAGCCTGGGATCAGGCTCCGCATTGGGAGAAAAAAGAGAAAAATATTGGTGTGCGCGATAGTCTGGGGAGGCCTGTTCCCCCTTTTGCCCCACTGCCGAGCAACTGCTGAGCCTGGTTCCAGGCTAATTTACTGATTTTCAATTAAGCTTCAATACTATACTTCATAATTAATCGAATTCATATCAGTACATTTTTAATAAGAGGGAATTGATACCCAGGGGGCTTAAAATCGGATTGTTGAAAGAGCTGTTTAATTTTCTCGTCGCTATAGCACTTGCAACATTATTACATGAGAGAAAGGCTGTTGTGTGCCGCTATGTGAAGTTAAGTGTTGGGATTTTCAGTTCTATACTAATGAAGTCTGATTTCTCAGCAAAACATTTTTGTATACCTAAAAGTCGTAGTATTTCTAATGGCCAATCCCTAGAATAAAAACTCTCTCCATAATGGACCTCGTTCGAGATAAGAAATGATCTTTTACATAAAGCTTAAGTATTAACTAAATATCTGATATTTTCTCGAAGCACCGAACGGGGACTAGAAAACAGGCTAAAACACGAGCAAAGCCGATTCTCACCCGGCTAATTATAACCAGACGAAGAGAGTAAATTACGTGGTTCTTTGACTTCTTTAAGCTTACCTTTTCCCCCTGTTTATGAGCTATAGTTTCATCTGTTGTGGCCAGACCAAAACACTGATTTTGTAGCGTCTGTCGTTGCACCGTTGGGTAAAGCTTTAGCTTTCCAGAAGATACAATCATCACCGACTTAATTTTTGAGCTTGTCAAAATTAAAGCGCTCTGTAAAGCAAAAGCATTTCTGGAGAAGTTGTAAATGGCGACTTTTCTTTTGACTGCAAATGTCTCTCGGCTGAGAATCAACTGAGCAGCATAAAATATTCAAAATTCCCGCGCAAGAGCAGGCGGGAGGCATCACCACTGACGAATGACGTCACATGTAAATGTTGACGTCAGAATTTTGGCTGCTTTTCCCTGGTAATGACTGTAGGCTATGTAATTTTGCAAATTACTGGCTGCTCATTTTTTATGAAGTAAGGCAAAGGGGAACGTGAAATATGTAAGGAGAGAAAAACCAAGCGAGAGAGGCTCCGTAGGGCGAGTAGGAGAGAACCCTTGGAACGTGGTTGAGGAGGACAGGCTAAAAAAAGTATGGTGTGAAAGGAAGGTTTAATAAATAAATAGTAACAATCTTTTATTAGGAAACTTTCGTCACATCAGTGGTTTACAGAGAGACCACAAATGTAATGAAGCCCTCCAATGCAATGAAAACCGTATTTGCTCGAAAGAGCGCTCCCTCGAATAAGCACCCCCCTCAAATATGGGCTGTACAGAAAATTTAAATTTTCCCGAGGAGGTATACACTAGATGCCCCCTACTCTAATGTGTAAACCCAACAGCAGCCCTATCTTAAGGGGAGGGAGGGGGGGGGGGGNGCACCCTCTTCCGTCAAATCAAGATTTGATCCTGTATTCTAACTGTATATTTCAACTGTAAGTGCATTTCTTACCGCAATATACGCGTGCACTTCACTCGAGGGCCCGAAGCGCAAAGCATAGTTCATAAAGAATGCAGTGGTTTTTGGCGTGTCTCACAAAGAAAAACCTATTGAATGAAGACGCACCAAGTCTCTGTAAAATAGCTTCACTCTGCAGCGTGTGCAGAACAAAGCAAAATTAAACTATGAAAAAAAATCCGCGTCGACATCCACAATATGTTTTTCTATTTTATTTTAGACACAGTGTAGTGTTTACAAGAAGAAAGCGGCTCTCTACCAATTGAAGAGGGATGTTCACTCGTATCCTAAATACAGGTTAATATTCTTCGTCATGCTTCGTAATTCGAGACACTTGATACTTATTTAGACGCTATATAGCTATTTTTCGAATACACGTGCATGAAACGTTTATAAAAACTAGTTAATCAGTGCCCTTTTGATCAGAAATTAAGTGAAATGATATCATCAGCAGTATGAATACATCAGATTTAGGGACGGACCATTAGGAAACTTATGGCGGGAGGCGGGCGAAGTACAAAAAAAATATTCGCACAAGGGAAAATTACATGAAAAAAAATTCATGCACGCCAATTAATCCTAAAAAATATTCATGCTATGGCCTAAAACTGAAAAATTCATACAAGGAATTTGATAACGAAAAAAAATTCCTGCGGCTCGAAAATCCCCCCCCCCCCCATAACTTTTCTAACTGTCCGTCCCTTAACATGATACGTAACAGTTTGGGCAAAAACGGGTATTGCGCAGACCACCCTTATAATGCGCTTTGTTGGTTTATGTGAAGGCCGACAAGACAAGTAAAACGGTCCTACACCGAATACTGCCAACCACCCTTCCAATAACATATACTCTTAGCATTGATTTCTATTGGCTGAACTAGTCTGTATATATATTCACAAAACTTTTCGAGTCGTTTACAATAACAAAGAAAAACCATCAAACATCAATTATTAATACCATTGTTCTTTTGTTCTTTCCAGAGTCATTGGCTCGCTATCCAACTTTAATAAGTTTGCGAAGGCCTTCAATTGCCCTATTGGAAGCAGCATGAACCCCTTGAAGAAGTGCTCTGTATGGTGATGATCGATTTCGTTTCACTTACAGTGTTACCTCTTTACTACGGACATCAAAGGGACCATCTTGCCAGCTCGGGCGAGGCCAATCAGAAAACAGGATTCCAGGCTTGCCCGCTCACGGATTCAGTCATATAATATTTTACCGATCTGCATTCGGTAAAAGTCAATCAATACTAATTAGCTGAACAGTTAATTGTGCCCCTTAACTGTTACATAATTCATCAACCGACCCAGTTGATTGTACTGTTTAAAAAACGAGCAGGAGTATATTATCAGGTTTAAAAACTCGAGGCGAGGCCTAAAATTTTCACACCTGATAATACAAGACTGCGAGTTTTCTGAACGGCTTCAAAATCTCTGATATACATCAACTCATTCTTGCACTAATATCTAGATTTGGGGTTATTTTGGTCTAAAAAATTTGAACGCAAAGTTTAGCCGTGTCTTTATCTGATAAAAAGACACCATTAAACATTAATTTTCTTTGTTTTTTCTTCATGAGTTTTTGAAGTATATGTTAAAGAACTCTGGGGGACAGATAATGTGACAACTTGATTTTACTCTCATTCTAATTTATTGACGTCTCACTCTGGCAAATAACTTTGCAAGCACAAGACTCAACCTGAATCTCTACTACAAAAGCTCGTTGTAGCTCCGTTTATCCTGACTGGACTTGAAGGATGTCTATCATACTCGTTTTAAATTTAGTCTTACATCAGGAGAAATCGGATTGGCTACAAGAATTGTTAACAATATTTTAAAGGCATAATAATTAGTTCAATTAGTAATTCAATTACTTATAGGTGATTAATGAAAATTCATTTTAAAACTCATATAATACTGTATCTTTGCTATTTCTTATCGAATATTAACTGGACCTGTGTGACTTTTAGAGTAAAAGTCGATTTTCCTATCATCATCATATCATTCATTACAAAACTTAAAAAGCTTTAAGCACAATGCTTGTGGGGTGGCACAGAATTAGTTACAATAGAACTACAATTAAAAATTTGGATAAAATTAGTTGAAATATACAACTACTATAAATCTCTGAGTGAACAGGGTTAACCTCCGAACACAATACAAGTCCCACTGCCCAATTGATTGGTAAATACAGTATTTCCTTAGTGGAACTTAACTTATCTGGACAACTTTTTGACTGGTCAAGAAACTGATTCAAGCAATACAAACAAATGTTTTCCTTAGTTTGAACGCTAACATCAGCTCAATACACCACTAAAACGGTTTAATTTCAATAACAGAAAGAATTTTACCAAATCACACTACTACATGTGCGTGTTTAAAAACTAGACGTCCAAATGGGAGTGTCTCAACCAGACTAGGTATAGACCTTGTACATTTGGCGTAACATACTCATCTATCAAACATAGGTACTCATGCACTTATGAACAGATACAACAGAGTAAAATTGAGATAAACAATTGTCCACATAAGTCTCACGGCTCTCCTGTTTACATGTGACTGAAGGCGCATCATTTTCATGTTGCAAGATTACCAGGGGCGGGTCCAGAAATTCAGAAAGGGGTGGCCGGGCCCCTTTTCCACTTGCCAGCTATATAAATTCTTTTTATTTTTCTGAGAATTCTATGAAAATACTACAAAATTTCAAAACAAAGGGGTGGCCGGGGCTCCTTCGGCCCACCCCTTAATCCGCCCTTGATTACAAACAAATGAAACTAACTCGCCATAACCATTGTCATTTACTGTACGCATATTTAAATTCACTAGGAACAGTATGCGGTTACTGCGCATGTACCAAACTTTGATTTTATGACAGAATGTTGCGAATTCAAAAGATGCAAGGAGACTAAGAGAACCTTGAAAAACCCGTTTGCATCGCGTTTGGCTGAGCTCGATACTACACTAAAACTTCTCAGAATTACAGATCAATAATATATTGTTCCCGTTAAGGTTCGATTTGAGCAAAATCGGGATTTCTTGGCGTTACTTTCATTGCCATTGGCCGGAGGACCAGGAAAAGGGAAGCGCTCTAATGCGGTCAGTTGAAGGCTTTTTTCTCCCGCCAGCTTCCATACAAGCTCGGATAATTGTGAAAGGAATAAGCAGAAATGGAACAGAAACAATAAACACTATGCAAGAAACAACCATTGAGACACGGGTGTGACTGAGGAGATCTTGTGGAAGCTTCAAGAAGCACGAAGTGTTGCAACGACATGTTAATAAACCTATAATAAACACGGGTTCTCACAGTGTTGAAAAGTCCTTGAATTTTAGGGGAAGTCCTTGAAAAGTCCTTGAATTCTATTTTTCCTTGAAAACTCCTTAATATCTGTGCAAGTCCTTGAAAAGTCCTTGAATTTTCTTTAGCTCTGAATGTAGTGGCCTGGAAAGTGGTTTTAAATGCTTTTTTGTCGTCCAAAACAGAACTGAATTTATAGTTCAGAGAAGTTAAAGGTGATTTACATCAAGTGTTTTTTGTTTTATGCAAGAATGAACGATCAATTTAAGACAACTGCACTGGAAAATGAAGAGAAGTTGGCGGAGCAAACAGTTCAAGCCTTAAAGTCCTGTTAGAATGTACTAGGAATGTGCAATTTTTGTACAGTCTGTGAAATTACATTTGTGGTAGGTGATCCGGCCTTGAAAATCTAATGTAGTCCTTAGAAAGTCCTTGAAAAATGGTTGGAAGTTTTCGCATGAACCCTGATTAACCTCCTTACGGCCGACAAAATCAAACAACACGCACTCAATGTTTAGGGAAACGAGTGCAATGAAATCAGAATATAATGTTTGACTGACCCTTGCGATGCTTCTTCGCGTTGCGATTGCATTTTTATTAATATCTTTCCAACTTTTGAGGCTAGAAAGCGAGCAAATATTACTGGACTTAGACTTGCCACAAATTGACCTCTGACACGCTAGGATATAAAAGAAGATAAATATGCAAAAGGCCTCGCCAAGAATCAGGTCTGTGCGATATTTCATATGCGAGATATTCGGAAAAACGTTTTACCCAAATTTATAAAGCTTTGTATGGAAACACCATGTTTGTGTCCCTTTGAGGGGCACAAATATGGCCGCCGGAAACCAACAGCACCTGTTTTTGAGTTTTCTTACTAATGCGTGAATTCATCGCTTGAAAAACTCTTAGAGGATTAAAGTGATACTTATTCTGAGACAAGGAATGTTTAGATAGCAAAATCTCCCAAAATTGGTAATGTTTTTAATTCACATAAGAGCCTTCCCGGCCCGCCAGCTAAATGCCGCGTCACGCAAAAGCCTAGAAATTCAAACGTCCTCTATCGCAAAACGAAGAACCCTTTCGAACCAAAACTTTGTTTAAATAAAGGTGTTTAGGTGCTGTAATACCTCATGAAACTCAGAAGAATTTATAGTTTCTTAGTTTGAATTTTGGTGACGTCATGTGAAAACCGAGAATACTTGAGAATGTAAAACAACAAATCTCCGTCGGTGATGCGGTCCGGAAGGAAATCTTGTCGCGTCAATATGACATTGTCTTTTTAAGAAAAAACAGATGACGCTCGCGCGTGCGCATAATCGGGCACTGTCCCGTTAGGTCAGCTAGAGGTGTCCGTGGTATAGAGGTAGGGATTGTATGAAGTCTGAGTGGGTAATATCTTTGAGGAGATTCCGTTGTGGAGTGGTTCACATTAAAGAGGTTTATAAGGAGAAGATCGACTGTATTAAAAATGCAACAGTAAGACACTGATTTCTTCCGGCCTCTTCGCTCGTTTGTTATCGTTCAAGAACTGTATGCAAAGAGAGAAAAGTGATTTCAGATTTGGAGGGTTAATCGGGAGAGGTCGACGCATAATACATTCTTTTCCTTTGGTAGTGATGCGAATATAATTCGGTCAGACATTGCCGGCCCATGTCCGGTGAAATCCTCCTTGCGGTCGGAAATGATGACCGGATAAATCAGATATTTGGGACTATCATAGCTGGTGGTTTGCTTGGTAATTAGAGAATTTTCTGTTTTTTCCAACTATTAAAACGGTGAACTGATGGGAGATAAGTCAAAGAAAAATCCTTCGCATACCTACCCTAGAGGGGGACAAAGCTCTGAGTTCTTGAAGAATGCGGAATCTTACATTAATGGATTCGGTCTCGTGACATTGTAACAACAACGCTTTCTTATGCTAACATTTAGCAAAATGGACACCCCAGACTAAACTTTTCAGTTTGTTCTTGACCCAGTTCTTGACCCAAGAGGACTGCACCATTGCAAGGTTTTTTTTGCTGATATGTTCCTATATCCGACAAGTCTAGTGCGTTGTAGATCTCTTTGGCTAGTTCTTCAAATACTGTCTGAATATTTTGGCCGGTTTTTGCACTTGTTTCAAAGTAGCGTACACCAAGATTTGCCGCCAATTCTTCTGCCTGTTTCCGAGTAACTTCACGTTTGTCTCCTGCATCAACTTTGTTTCCCACTAAGATTTTACACGTCCAGTCATCTAGGTGATCATCAATGAGTTTTTTTATACTATCTATGCCCGGTTCAAAGGACTTGCTATCCGTTACGTCAAAAACGAGCAAAACGCCGTCTACATCTCGTAGAAACGAAGAAGTTATGCTACTGAACCTCTCTTGCCCGGCGGTGTCATCAATCCTCAAGGAGAACTTTTTTCCATTCAAAGTAATGTTCTTGATAAAAACATCGAGACCAACAGTTGCTCTTAGATGGTCATGGAAGCAGTTGTCTTTAAACCGCTTGATGATACAAGTCTTTCCGGTAGCAGAATTCCCGAGACAAATTATTCTCAAGGTAGGAGGGTAGTTTGGTGTTCTTCTCTGAACAATAGTGTTTTTCTTCTCAATGACTGACTTCTCTTTTTGAAGCCATTCTACAACCTCCTTGGCATTTAATCTTTTGTCACTGTTGTCTTCAATACAGCTGAGCACGAGTCCTCTCAGTCTGTGATCACCCATCTCACGTATGTCATCTTTGCGACGTTCGTTTTCGGGAATGCGTCGGCCATCTGTTAATTTCAGCAAAGAAATTTTAAAAGAAAATAAAGATATAACTTATAAAAACCAAAGGTCAAAACGCTTTGGTCCAACTGCAACACCGGAAGATTCACGTGATAGACGGTCAAAACACGCGTGATTAGATTCCGAGATTGCGTCCTGTGCATTGCATTCATTCTTTCAACTAATGGAAGTGAAAACGAAGCCGTGGCCATATAGCATGCATTTGCAAGCGTGTGATCGGTAGAAATGCTTCATAAAACACATAATTTTGCTCCTTTGATCCCAAATGTTGAGTGATGTAAGAAAAATGAATAAAGATACCTTATAGTATTTTTTTAGTGGAGTGTTCTGCGACTTCTGCGTTTTGTGTCGTTTTCAGTCGCCTGAAACTGACTGCAAAGGACTGCAAACGAATACGACCGCGCTCTGTTTTGGGCTCTTTCAGTGTCGTGTTGATGCCTTGTAAAGCTACTTTTCAAGTAGTACGATCAGCTTTGCAGCATTCGTTATGATTAACCGGTGCGAACAATTTTAGAGTAAATCAGAATAATTATTTACATTGTACTTACCGGTATCAAAAACCACTGGGACACACTTCGGTTCTCGGCTATTTATTACCTCCATGGAAATGACTCCAAGCGAAAAAATGTCTATTTTCTCGTTGTACTCGACCTTTGGTGATGTTGTGCCCGGTTTTGGATGCGTTTCTGGAGCAGCGTATAGTGGAGTTCCGGGAACTGGAGAGGCAGACATTCCTTGCTTTCCACGATAGAACTTGGCGAGTCCCAGATCAGCTATCTTGGCTTGCCCTGTTTTGGTTAAAAGGATATTTTTACTTGCCAAATCTCGATGAATTATCTCACATACGTAGTGCAGATAATCAAGACCGTTTGCAACATCCAGAATGATCGACACTACTTCAGGAAATGGAATCTTCTTTGGTTTAAGGTTAGTAATATATTCCCTTAAATCGCAAGCCAAAAGTTCGGTGAAAAGCACAGGAGGTGAAGAATTCGAAATGTCGAATTGAATCAACTTAACAACATTCTTATGATTAAGTCGCTGCAAAAGTTCGCATTCTTCTCGAAATTTGTCAACAGTGGTGGGATGAATCAATGTCGGATGAAGCACTTTCGCCGCTACAGGTTCGTCGTTCAACGTTGCTTCATAAACTCTTCCATAGCTCCCATTACCGATCGCATTTTTCAGTTGATATTTTGCCTGCATTTTTGAATAAAGTGACCCTTTATCCTGTTTGCTGCTGCTGCTGCTGTGCGAGTGAGACGGACGCTAGCGTGCAAGGCACACCTCGTGGTCGGTCGCCGGGAAATGTTGAAGCCAGCCGAGTCCTCGGGCTAATTTGACCACGAGTATATGTAATCGCCAGGAGAGACTCTTTTTGATTGGTTTTTCCTTTCTAAACGGAAGTTGATTAACAAATCAATTTCTACGTTTTAATTGGCTGTTGTCAAGAGCTCATAATATTGCTGTTGTCAAAAAGCAGAAAATACCGTAAATGCCCCAATTTAATAGAATTATCTAAGGCGAGAGGGGGGCGCTTATATCAATTTTTGACCTCAAAATGGCACGTGCACTATCTTTATTTCTTTAACCCAAACTGTAACATATAAAAAAACGTTATAGAAAATTACTTTTTGCAGGAGCATATCTCCTGCTTTTTGTGATACTTGAAACGTTCTCAAGACATTTTCGAGTTGCCCGTCAAAAATGTATTATAGTTCTTCAATAGAACAGTTCTAACAATGCGAGGAAAATGAGAAGCAAACCCGTACGACTTTGAAGAACATTAATTTTGTACTATTACGAATGTCACATTGATTAAGAGTACCGTATACGTCTCGTAAATCGTACCGAGTACTGAACCTCGTTTTTTGTCGGGGGAGGGGGAGCGCTTATTTGAAGGGGGGCGCTTATTCCAAATTTCAAGCCTTAGGAGGGGCGCTAATTCGAAGCGGGGCGCTTATTTGAGCATTTACGGTAGATTTGAGGGGAAGTTTCGAAGAAACACTTCCTAGACTAGAATCGATGGTCTGGTCTTTAAAGATACACATCACTCGCGTTTAGCGCTCTGAAAACTAAACAACACATGTAGAAGGGTTTCGTTTACAAACACAGTGTTCGATGACATCTGTCGTCGAACCAAGCACCTGCATTACGGACTACGACAAAAAGAGAAGAAGGACAAGAAGAAGAGAAGAACAACAGAAACAACTTAAATTACTACTATATTTTGTTTGGGAGGGCAACTCATTCCTGAAATTAAATAAAGACAGTTTATGATCAGTTTTATTGCAAGCGGTCTACATTTGTGGTAACAAAACTTTTTTTGTAAAAAATCTAACCCCGTGATACAAGTTCGTAAAATTACTTAATTCTGTATGGAAAACAGAACGAATCAGAAACAATGTTCCTTTGAGCTCGCCTCCCTCCGGGGATTAAACAACGCTTAACTGGATGAAAAGCGGAGTTTACTAAGTGTATCCATCATTGCTTGCTTGACGTTTCTATTTTTCCAGCAGTACAGGAACGGGTTCAGAGACGAGTTAATGACCGTAAATAGACCCGCATAAGTCAAAGCAAGGAACACAGGAGAAGATAAGTCCTTATGGATTGTAATAACTGCCACAATACTGTAAGGCAGATAACAAACAACCAATGCTATTTGTACCCACAATGCACTGGACACTGCCCTTCTGTATCGAGCTATGTTCAGTGGGAATGCAGCCCCTGCAATGTTTGGTCTTCGCTGAGGAACAAGATTTTGTACTTGATTTTGATATTTACGAAGAATAAGATAAATTTTTGTGTAACAAAATATGGAGATCGCTAGACACAATGATATAGATATGGCGCCACCCCAAACAGTTTCAGCAAGCGGCTTAGAATCGTAGTTCGTCGTTTTAACGGTAGATACAATAGTCCAGACCCAAATCACAGATACAGCAATAAATGTTTTTTTCAAGGTTACAACTTCCTTGTATCTCAGCTGTAGTAGCAAAGCGAGAAGCCTGTCGACTCCAATTGCAGGTGTTATCGACAAAGATACTCCACCCAGGATATAAGCCATAATGACGCTTGTTTTTAATATGTAGCGACACAAATTTCCTTGTTCAATAACCGCAGATAGGCAACAAATTACCTTTAGAGGCTGAACGATAAGACCAACACACAGATCAGTTATAGCTAGGTTACAATACAGGAGCTTGGAGGCCGGGTTGAGTGAAGATTCCTTGTAAAGGGCAATTAAAGCCAGAATATTTCCCAAAAACGCAGTCGCGGACACAAGCGTATTCAGTACTGCTAGAAATATGAAATGGTTGTGCACTTCTCTTATTAATTCTCTCGAGCAGTAAAAGTCAGAAATCGTATTCTCCCTTAGTTTCGCTCCAGTAACGTTTTGGAGCAGCATTTTGCTGCAATTGGAATAGGGTATATTATGAAAGACACACATGGAGGAAATTACTGATGGAAGATTTTTTCGACCCCACTATTATAACACTCTTCCATTACAAGGTGAACAACAGATCCGGAACTTTGTCGGCGAAGCGTTGTCGGTATAATGATGGAGACTTGAAAAGCTTTTATTTTCCTTTGATCTGCGACAGTTTTTTTGTAGTGTTTTCCATGCCTATTCAGAACGTGCCGGAAAACCAATTTAATGTGCCTTTCCAGTGTTTTGAACAGGCTATTATTTTCAATAAATGGAAGAGGTGACATACATCATTTTGACGATAGCCAAAGTCAGAGAAGTGATGAATAAAAAATGAGTGCTTTTTGTGCTAATGCTTTTATGCAAAAAAGGAATTTTAAAGTGCGTATGTATCACATAAGCTTGTTTGACGTAGAAGAAGTTGTTTGGACGTGACCAATACTGAGTTCCGCTTTTATTACTTAAAGCAACGCTATAATGACTTCCCTGAGGACTTCTACCATTGTTCTCTAATCACTTTGCAGTGAAACGAGGACACAAAATATTTTCACTCTAATTACAACACCGCAGACAAAATCAAGAATTGGCATCTCGTTTGTTAGATAGTAATTGCAAAAAACTACAGCAAAGCGAGCGGCATAACTAACAGTGTGATTTAAATAACTTATAATTACAAATAAGTCACTTACAATAGCAGAAAAGCTTAAACTATCAGAATAAATCTATAACGGACTTTATTTGTAACGTTACAACTGCAAAAATGCACACTGAACAGAGATATGTGCAAAAATTAAACGTGAATTAAGAAAAAGAAAAAGGCTATCGAGAAAATATCTGAAGCACGCTAAACAAACGACTTCATTGAAAAAAAAAAACTAATGATAATAAACACAAACTAGAGAATAAGAAAGGAATAAAGCACTGAGGCGAAAGCGAACAAAAGCCGCAAAAGAAAAATAAAGCGAAATCTATAATGACTTCCCAGAAGACTTCTACCGCCGCAGTAAGGATAGCTGGATTTGTAAGACGGAGGATGATGTATACGTAGTCAATTGATTTCAGGGGGTGGGGGATTTCCATCGCCGATCTTTTTCAACCGACGAAAACAAAATACGTCAAATAACAGAACAATTGAATAACACCTGATTGTCCCCTCCTCCTCACCCAAGTCAAAATGCCATTCTGACTTCTACTTACCAAACCAAACCGGTCTTTAGAGCGGCTGTGTCAGGGCTATCTAGTTCAATATGTTAAAAATTGCCAGTTACACATCCTTTCAAAAAGGGTGTGCCTTGGTAATTGGTCATTGGACACTGGACATTTGGGCATATCGAACAATGCAATGATTTACTTGAGTGACCACCGACGATAGCTTCCCAATACGCAATTCCCAATGCCCGAACCAACCTTTATTGAATCAGCTATATATCGCTATGGAACCTGACAAATCACTTGTTAATGGACAAAATCACAGCTTCGTGTAAAACAAATATGTCTCCCGTGCATTGTACTAGTAATAGTTGACACTATAGCTGACTGCACAATAAATGTCACAAAATCTACCTAAGTGGTCCCTTCGGGATTTTCTGTCTTTACGTCATCCTAACCATTTCATACTTGCGGGCGCAAACAATAGAAACGTCATCATTACCCACCGATTCCTCGCGGCCCCTTTTCAAGCAAATCGAGATTTTTTCTGGCATACTGACTGTATATTTGAACTGTAAGTACTTTCCTTAACATACGCGCGAGTTACTAGAGTGCCTCCTCGGGATTCCGCCTTCTGGGCGAAATCCCTGCAGGGGCAATTAAACGTTACTGACTCAAAAAATGAACTTTGAAAAACGGCTAACAAGTTTTCGAAAACCACAATACTGCAATTCGTTTTAATCTTCGTCAAGTTTGTTCGCTATCTGTGTGTCCATTTGTATTTATTACTGTGTTATTTAAAACTGCTCTTCATATTTGGGGAGTTACTTTTATGTTCCACTTAGTTTGGCAGGGGCACCTAAGGACGGTTTCCTGCTAAATGCATTGAAAAGTCTTTTTAGGCTATCCATTGTACTTTAGATCTCAAGAAATGCATTCTAAGCGGCGCTATAAAATTTGTATCTGTTCGGTCATCCAAGGGGAATTGAGGCTTTTCGAAATTGCAAGGGCGTCAGTGTTCTTTTCCCGAAAATTTTAGATGCAATTGAACGTTTTACGAAAGTTAGAATTTTTCTTATTTCTCTCTCCATCACACTTTTGAATTCGAAAATTTTAGGTTTCCTTTTTCTACGAAAATTAGCCTAACATAAGGAGTAAAATATGAAAAATTAAACTTCAGAAAATCGTAGGAAATTTTGTAGATAAGCTTCGAAAATTGTATCTGAATGAAACGCTCATCTAGACATTTTTAGCCGTATTCAAGCAATAGAAAATTCTAGGCAATATTTGCGTCTCCGCATTGATATTTTACAGAGAAGAGTCGTGGTTGCCCATGGTTTGGTGAACGATAAGGCAATAAGCTTTGAACATATCGCTAAAATATGATTAATAATCATATGGCAATGTTCATGAGATGTTGAACGTAAGAAAGGCACCCACCTTAAGAGCCAGTCTGTGCAGGATCTTTATACTGATTTATGCCAACAAAATAGATCTCGCTCATAATTTTTCGGTAGACTTCTTTCAACAATTATATTACAAATACGAAAAAAGATTATTCACCTCTGTTAAATTTTTTTGACAATTTGATTCTTTTTTGGCACCAAGGATCTAAAAAGCCTTTGCAAAATGCAAATCTTGTCAAACGTCGACCGACTGTTCCCAATTAGCTTCGGTTACACTTTAGCCATTTTACCCTTGGGTAACAGGTTCTTACCCACGTAGAAGGAACTTTTTGTGTTTGAACGATTTTCCCAAGATAAAATTGCGTCGGGTAAATTTGCATGGACGCGTCAAAAAGAACAAAAGAATTCCTCATGACAGTTCTCGAGGCTCTATGGGTTGATAGAATGCACAGAGTGGCTGAACCTTAATCACGAGAAAGTGAATGAACCAAACAATAGAAATCACGTGTTGTTTACGTGCTATGTTCATCTTGGCGCCAAATGCTACGAGCAAATGGAATTACAATCTGGCTCCTGACTCGTTCCCAGTCTTCTCTTATTAGCAGTCACGGAACGGTCGTGGGAGACTATTACGGCATCTTCGCGAAGAGGATCTCTTGGTTAAACATCTTTTAATTCAAGGATTATTTTAACATATTCGCTTTAAATTTTTCTTCTACCTCAAAATGGACTTTATACGAAACTATAAACATAAAGTACAAAATTTAACGGCGTGCTTATAACAACAAATTCAATATTCGCCGCCTATCAACTAACACAACAACTGGTCACGTAAAAAAAGGTCTAACTCAGTTTAACTGAACGTAACACATATCTGGTGCAAAAAACACTCGTTCCGGAATCGAAACAAAGTGAGTAAAAGCGTGCATCACATGATCAACTCATCACGTGATCACCATACGGCACACTTGTCACCGCCGCGGTTCATCTCTTTGCTGCTTGAACAGCTGAAGGCTTTTGAAAACCTTTCAAAGTTGGACAGCGACCCAATCACCCTGCAAAAGAAGGGATCAAGATGATCAAATTGCTAGATTGTTGGTAGCTATAAGCACTGTCCCAACCCACCCTCTCCCGTTTTTAATTTACTTCAGGAAAGCGGGTTAGAGGTACGTAGGGTTTTAGAACTAGGAGAAGGGAAGCCTCAAAAGACAGAGGGGGCTAGTTTAACTTTAACATAGTGAAACACCAGAACTTGAATCAAATAATTTTCAGGATTAAGAGTTACACTTGAGCATCTGTGCGATATCTTAGGCGAAAATAGTAACGTTCTACTCGAGCTTGTCACGCAACGTACCAGGTCAATTCCCTATTCTACAAACTATGGGGGGAATGGGTACCGGCTTTCGGCGCAACGATTTTTCGGACAGTTTGGGTCGACAAGCGTTAATTATGATTGGTTACTGTGCCTTGAATACTATCGACCAATCATAACTAACGCTTGTCGACCCAAACAATCCCAGACTAATCGCTGCCCCCAAAGCTTGTACCCGTTCTCCCTCGAGTTTCTGAGGTAGGGAATTGGAAACGATGCAAACCGGTAGGTATCATTTGTAAAGGAAGAGGGGTGGGGTGAATGGGGGTAGGGAGGGGTATGCATCCTTTCACTAGCAGAGACAGTTGGTTACAGGGGCGGATCCAGGATTTTTTTTAGGAGGGGGTGCACTCGTCTCTTGCTCTACTTCAACAACAATAAACCACATAGTTTTTTTTTTTTTTTTTTTTTT